AGTCCCAGGTTCGATTCCGGTCAAGGGCATGTACCTTGGTTGCGGGCACATCCCCAGTATGGGGTGTGTGGGAGGCAGCTGATCGATGTTTCTCTCTCATGGATGTTTCTAATTCTCTATCCCTCTCCCTTCCTCTCTGCAAAAAATCAATAAAATATATATTTTTTTAAAAAATCATTCAGTGGTCGCAGTGCCTCTCTGGGGCTTCCGGGAAGATTTAATGGGGAAGGCCTCTTCTCCATGGCCCCTCACCTCACCTGGCTGGACAGATGCTGAGCTCGGTATTTGAGGAAGAAATTCACCAGTTTATATAAGTCGTCCTCACTCTCAATTCCAAGGGCCTGCGGGGGAAACAGAAAGACGCTCAAACACCACTTCAGGAGTCCACCTGCGGCGGGCGTGGCGGGCCCTCGGCTCCGGGGTGCAAGAGGCTTGGCTGGCTGCCCTCAGCTTCCCTGGCACCTGCCGCGGCCCGGGGTAGAGGCCATTCCGCACGGGGCAGCGCAGTGAACTGGGGACGCCGGCGTCAGGACCTGCCCTACACAGGCCTGGGGGGTGCAGGGGTACTAAGGGCTGGGCCCACATCTGAGCTCAGGGCTGTGGGGGAGAATCGGCGGCCTGAGCGCTGGGCCACGGGGGAGAGGAGCCGGCAGGGGCAAGGCCAGGGACAGGCAAGACCTAAGGAACTCCGAGGCCGGCTGGCTGCGTGGAGAGCACGGATAGGGCCGGCAGGGACGGTGAGCCCAGGGGGGCCTGGGGAGACCCACATGGGGCGGAGGCCATGTTGGGAAAACATGGACGGCCACCTTAGAACGAGCTCCCCCACCCCCCAGCCCCGGTCCACTCCACCCGGCGGGACTCACTGAGAATATGGCATCCAGCCTCAGCAGGTAGCACTCGCTCTTCTCCAGGGGCTGGAGGAGGCTCAGCAGCTTGCTCTCGATGAGGAAGCCCTGGGGGGGGCGGGGGGGGACGGCATCTCCGCTCAGAGGCAGCGCTCAGGAGCGAGGCCCGGGCTGCAGCCTCCTCTGCGCAACCGGCAGCGACGACCTCGGAGCAGA